GTTCATCTGTACAAACATGTGGCAGCGGCCATTTTGTTTAGTCAAACGCACTCAGCGGTGTTTGGTCGTTGACCGCGTGGCACTGATTTCGGCTACCTTTTTCCACGAACAACGCTGAACTTCTACCTTCCGTGCTTTCGACTAGAATCATACGAACAAGATGCTAATTGGTTGGACCACCTTGAGTCCCTAATGAAAATATAATTTTGCCTCTCTATAAATCACTGGTAAGACCACACCTTCAGCTATGTAACTATGAGTCTACAGTCCAAGTCCTTGGGGTCCAATGTGACTGGGCAAGTGGGGGGGGGGCACATATGGTGATGGCACTCAGTGATGGCATTCCGTCACACGGTCCATCTCCCCAGTGGCAAAAAGAGCTCCAGGGAGGGGAGGTCAGCATCCTCACTCCACAGCGGCTGAGTATGTACCAGGGAGAGGAGCTGAGGGGGCTCTCTCCAAAGAAGCAGAATGAGGAGCTCACCATAACCACAGCTGAAGCACTGGCATTGGGACAGTGTGTGGCTGGCCTCTGTTCCAAACTACAAAAGGAGAAGAATATTTGTTCCATATTGGTGGAGGGGACTACAGTCTCCAGTGTAATGACAAGATGCTTGGTAGTTGGTCCAGATCCCTTAAGTTACCCTGTGTCCATTGTGGGTGCAGGGTGTGTGTGTGTGTGTGTGTGTGTGTAAAGTGGTTGTAGGGGGTTAAATGTTAATGTGCTCTCCTGTCTTGCTAATGCTTGCAATCAACTTGGTGGTTTTGGCTGTGGAGCCTGTACAGCGCCACCTGTTGGTTGCAAGGATCTGGCCACCACTATATGCACTACCTGAATAGCAAGGCTTGCTAATTTGCATATATTCAGGTAGATTTGCATATTGTTCATTCTGCAGGCAGGAGAGATATTTTCTGTTAATAATTGTCTTCCCCACCCCTTTTTTTAAATATGTAATTATCTTATTATAGTTCCTGTATGTTGTCTAATGTGATTTGACTGTTTGTATTTTTATTGAGTTGTCACAGCAATCTTTATGCAATAATCATATGGGCTAGTCCCAAGTAAAATAAAGTATTGTATGTTAGTTCCTTTTGGAACTTTATGGACTCTTTGGACTAAATGTCCATTTTAAAAATGGTTCCTGAAAGTATGAATACTAAGGATTCCATCTTTTGAGACCTTCTATGGACGTAATGAACGTTGAACTGGAAGACGTCACAGGAAGTGATGTCGCAGACATTACCAGAAGTAACGGCACAAAGGAAATACACAAATAACATCCCAGCATGAACTATATGATGGTTCCTTGTAGTAGATTGAATAATGAATGTCTTTGCTTCTCTTCACTGTGTCCAAATATAGTTTTTTCTGTGTGCATTTTATACCTAGAAGAATATTTTTGCCGAAAGCGTAAATTAGTGTCCAAACCAGAAACGTTCCCATCTTCGAGGTGGCAAAATACCCTTCCAGTTCGGACCATATTTGGGAATAGGCGTATTTTTAGTATGTGAATCTTATTATCTATAACTCATACCTATATATAAACGCTCACCTTCAGAAGTATTTTATCAGTACCTGAAGACGACCCAGCTTTAGGGTTGAAACGCATTGTGCACTTTACTTTTGTTTATGATTTTATATTCAAATAAATATGTTTTAAATATTTATACCTCCCTTTGGAGTTCCTGATTTCAGCGAACCTGCATTTCCTGGGACCCCGATCACCAAGAGGACATCTATTTTATGTATATAAAGAGACATATATGCTGTATAAGTCCAGAGCCAACATTAATGGGCTCAGAAAACTGTGAGTGTTCTGCTTTTTAATATCTACTCAATTTATTTACAGATTCCACTATGTTGTGTTCTGTTTTTACCTTTATATAGGACTAGCATATGCTAATGCTTCTGTATTAGAGGTAATATATCTCCTTTTTTGTGTGCGCTTATCACCTTGTTTTTGGTTTTTATTCTGTGTTTTTAGTATATTATTATGACTATAAACTTGGGTGAAATAGCTGCACCATATAGTTTGTATTCCTGAGCGCCACCTACATTTCACTTTTCACAATGTAGCTATAAGATAAGGCCAGGGACTAATGAAAGTATTTAGAAAATTGGGCAGACTAGATGGGCCGAATGGTTCTTATCTGCCGTCACATTCTACGTTTCTATTTGCGATATATATTATGATATGATTATTGGTCTAGTATATGGAGACAATAGTGTATAATATTAATGATAGATGCAATGTATATGTAATATGATACATGATTATCAGTGTAGTATAGGTAGATGTTTATTATAAATGGTAGATACAATGTATACGTGATATGATATATGAGCTTTATCGGTGTAGTATATGGAGATGATGGTGTATAATATTATTAATGATAGATAAAATGTATATGTGATATGATATATAATCTTTATCAGGGTAGTATATGGAGATGATAGTGTATAATATTATTAATGATAGATAAAATGTATACGTGATATGATATATGAGCTTTATCGGGGTAGTATATGGAGATGATGGTGTATAATATTATTAATGATAGATACAATGTATACGTGATATGATATATGAGCTTTATCGGGGTAGTATATGGAGATGATGGTGTATAATATTATTAATAATAGATACAATGTATACGTGATATGATATATGAGCTTTATCGGGGTAGTATATGGAGATGATGGTGTATAATATTATTAATGATAGATACAATGTATACGTGATATGATATATGAGCTTTATCGGGGTAGTATATGGAGATGATGGTGTATAATATTAATAATAGATACAATGTATACGTGATATGATATATGAGCTTTATCGGGGTAGTATATGGAGATGATGGTGTATGATATTATTAATGATAGATACAATGTATACGTGATATGATATATGAGCTTTATCGGGGTAGTATATGGAGATGATGGTGTATAATATTATTAATGATAGATACAATGTATACGTGATATGATATATGAGCTTTATCGGTGTAGTATATGGAGATGATAGTGTATAATATTATTAATGATAGATACAATGTATACGTGATATGATATATGAGCTTTATAGGAATTTAGTATATGGAATGATGGTGTATAATATTGTAATAATAGATACAATGTATACATTGATATGATATATGAGCTTTATGGGTAGTATATGGAATGATGGTGTAATATTATTATTATTGACCTATTATCGTGATATGATATACTTCTCGGTGACAGTATATGGAATGATAGTTAATATATATATTATTAATATTAGATACAATGTGCTCGTAGATGATATGATATGAGCTTTGTCGGGTAGTATATGGAGATGATGGTGTATAATATTATTAATGATAGATACAATGTATACGTGATATGATATATGAGCTTTATCGGTGTAGTATATGGAGATGATAGTGTATAATATTATTAATGATAGATACAATGTATACGTGATATGATATATGAGCTTTATCGGGGTAGTATATGGAGATGATGGTGTATAATATTATTAATGATAGATAAAATGTATACGTGATATGATATATGATCTTTATAGGGGTAGTATATGGAGATGATGGTGTATGATATTATTAATGATAGATACAATGTATACGTGATATGATATATGAGCTTTATCGGGGTAGTATATGGAGATGATGGTGTATAATATTATTAATGATAGATACAATGTATACGTGATATGATATATGAGCTTTATCGGTGTAGTATATGGAGATGATGGTGTATAATATTATTAATGATAGATACAATGTATACGTGATATGATATATGAGCTTTATCGGGGTAGTATATGGAGATGATGGTGTATGATATTATTAATGATAGATACAATGTATACGTGATATGATATATGATCTTTATCGGGGTAGTATATGGAGATGATGGTGTATGATATTATTAATGATAGATACAATGTATATGTGATATGATATATGAGCTTTATCGGGGTAGTATATGGAGATGATGGTGTATAATATTATTAATGATAGATACAATGTATACGTGATATGATATATGAGCTTTATCGGGGTAGTATATGGAGATGATGGTGTATGATATTATTAATGATAGATACAATGTATACGTGATATGATATATGAGCTTTATCGGGGTAGTATATGGAGATGATGGTGTATATGTCCACACTGTAAATTCAGGTAGATTTAGAAACACGTCTGTCGAGTTTTGTTCGGATTACACATCTTCTTGTGGTTTCCTGACACTTTTCACTTCCTGCCTAACACCACTAAATCTAGAGCGGGGGTAGTGAGTGAGTACATCAGCATCCGCCTGGAGGATTAATACACTTCTACTTCCACCAGATCCCTTAACCCTCTCTCCTCCAGGTCTTTCATTGAATCCTGGCCCTTAAAGCCCTTTGATACATTAACCCTTTCACAGAACAGCACCAAGCTCCATATAAGTTACTATCAAAACCTGCTGTCAGCCTGTGCATGCACCTGTATTCAAGCAGGGATTCCATATATAATGTATAATCAAATGATCAAAGTCTGGTGTTACCCTGAGTATCTGCCCCTTTCACACAGAGAATCTGCCCATTCACCCGGAGTATCTGCCCATTCACCCGGAGTATCTGCCCTTTCACACAGAGAATCTGCCCATTCACCATGAGTATCTGCCCATTCACACAGAGAATCTGCCTATTCACCCTGAGTATCTGCCCATTCACACAGAGTATCTGCCCATTCACACAGAGTATCTGCCCATTCACACAGAGTATCTGCCCATTCACACAGAGTATCTGCCCATTCACCCTGAGTATCTGCCCAGTCACACTGAGAATCTGCCCATTCACACAGAGAATCTGCCTATTCACCTGGGGCTTTGAGAATCTGGCTAGACAACAACAAGCGATGACCCTTATTTGTCCTTTCCCTCTTTCTAGACTCATTACCCCTTAATGATCACTGTGATACATGCAGAGCATCGCACAATTGTGTTACCTGCAGAGCATTGCACTACTGATTAACATTCTGTAACCGGCCTCTCACCTTGTACGTGGTGAGTCTGTGAGACATTCCACAAAGTCCAGGATGACGGTCATCTTTAATCCCAGGAAGAGGATCTGCGAGACAGTCAGAGAGAATAGGATGGGAGAGACGGCTCCCCCAAGTCAGAGACAGCACACAGATCAACTTCACAACGCAGATAGAGGAAGAGAGACAAACCTCTACCCAGGAAGGAAGAAGAAAGACAAGAGACGCCCACCTGATAGGCTCTGGGTGGATATACACACATACATGGACTCTCCACGCTTGCAGTGGCTAGTAACATTTACATCTGGCTAGTTGCCCAGTTGTTGAAATTCTAGTCCCTGTATGTATTTATATATTTATCCAGTGACCCTGTCTGCCTGAGATTGATGGGAGTTACTCTCCTGGTCCCATTACCGATATGCTGGGACAGTGTGATATCACTACAGGCAGTGACTGAAGAGAACTATAACTCTCACAAGTCTCAGGCAAGCAGCACCATTTATGTCTTAATGCTGCTAACCCAAATGGAGTCCAAACTAAAAATGAATAAATTCCATCTTTATGCAACAGAATGGATAATAGCAGTCATGTCTGCATTCTCTCTTTCTCGTGACAGACAGACAGACAGACACAGAGATACAGTGAGCTGTGTACTATGGGAAATATACTGCCATCTCTCCGTTCTTAAGAAATTATTATAAACCACAAAAGTGTAGAGTAATGTAGGGGTTCATGTTTAGTGATAGCGTAGAGTAATGTAGGGGTTCATGTTTAGTGATAGCGTAGAGTAATGTAGGGGTTCATGTTTAGTGATAGCGTAGAGTAATGTAGGGGTTCATGTTTAGTGATAGCGTAGAGTAATGTAGGGGTTCATGTTTAGTGATAGCGTAGAGTAATGTAGGGGTTCATGTTTAGTGATAGCGTAGAGTAATGTAGGGGTTCATGTTTAGTGATAGCGTAGAGTAATGTAGGGGTTCATGTTTAGTGATAGTGTAGAGTAATGTAGGGGTTAATGTTTAGTGATAGCGTAGAGTAATGTAGGGGTTCATGTTTAGTGATAGCGTAGAGTAATGTAGGGGTTCATGTTTAGTGATAGCGTAGAGTAATGTAGGGGTTCATGTGTAGCGGATGGCACTGGGCTGTCCTGCAAATGTCTCGTGAATAACTGCATTCGTGTGATCTGCTGGTTCTATATGTGTTTAAAAGAATTGTATTCCTCTGATTGTTCGGTAGAATCATTCGAATAAACTAAGGGAATGAAACTACCGAACAATCAGACCTCCCCTTTCGTGCAGATTGTTCCCTTATTCCAGGACCGACCGCAGGGCCCATTCGCATGGAACCGTATTCGGCTGTCTCAGTCAGTGCGGTTGGTCATTTTATTCTCTCCATAAATTTCCCGAACCCCTGGTCTGATCTGGGTGATTTTTGGATATGTTGTTCACCCAGATCAGGGCTATCAGGGGGTGTAGGATTTAAAGGGGTACATCCAGAAACGGGGGGAATTGCTAGACTGGATAAGGGGATTATGATGCAAGCTGAGGGGAGGAGATGTGTGGGAGGTTACCAGGACAGGATTGGCTACTGTACTAATGATTGTAAATCCCTCCCTTGCATGGGAGCATGCTTTAAAAGGACAGTGTGGATTAAAAGATTTCAGTTCTGCTCCTGAAACTGTGTGTCGTCCAGTTATTGGGATTGCTGTTGGGATATTGCTGTTATTTTACCTGCTGGAAACCTTGCCTGTGGATTTACTATTTACTTGTTCCTGAGCCTCACTTGGATTATAAGCGGAGATAACCTGGGGAATATTGCATCTCCGCTACATTGGTTGGCAGCGCTGGGATCCAGACTCACAGAGGAACAAGCATAAATGGAGTACGGATGGAGATTGATTTTGCCACACTAAAACGCTCCACGCTAAAAGACCTCCTGGAGGCAAGGGGTATACAAGCCAGCAATAAGAAGAAAGCGGTACTCATTACTGAACTTATGGCGGAGTACCGAATGGATGGCGATTCGGTTCCCGAACAGGGGGATTCGGGAGAAACACCGGAACAAATGGAGTTCCAGAGGCAGCTACAATTTTGGCAATTTATGGGGAACACCCTCCAGCAGAGATTATTTCAAAAACTATGACAGAGGTCCAGGAATTCATATTGAGGAAACAAACAGCAGCCCCAGAACGCAGCTCTGCAGTAAATATGCCACAAGAAGGTAAGCCTAAAATACCATACCAGGCTTTTAAAACGTATGTGGAGGCAGAGGAAGATATAGACTCTTTCCTGCAAGATTTTGAAAGACTGTGTGCACTGCATAGAATCAGTGCAGAGGACTGGGTACCTATTTTGGCAGGAAGGTTAACTGGGAGGGCAGCAGAGGCATATCGTACTGTACCCAACGAAGAGATACGGAATTACAGTAAAGTTAAAGAAATTATACTGGCCAGGTATGCTATAACACCGGAAGCATACCGGCGGAGATTCAGGGACTTAAAGAAGGTGGAGAAAGATTCACACGCAGAGTGGGCATGCAGATTACAAAGGGCAGCACTTGGGTGGGTGCAAGCGAGCAAGGCACGGTCCATGGAGGATGTAATACAGATGATGCTGATGGAACAATTTTATGAGGGAGTAACCAGCGATGTACAGGAGTGGGTAAGAGACAGAAACCCTACCTCCCTCACCGAAGCTGCCAGGAAGGCAGATGAATACCTGGATGCACGCAGGCAGCAAAAACCTGCAACTCCAAAAGCCACTTTTAAAACCTTTGGGGGAACCATCTACACCCCAGCTCCACCGAGACCCCTGCCACCACCACCACCGCCCGCTGCACAGCCACGTTTCCGCCAGCCCACGTCTGGTCCCTGTCACCACTGCCAGAAATGGGGACATTATAAAAGGGAATGCCCCCAGCTGCGGGATCGTTCCACCTGGATCCGAGCCGGTCCACCACCACCACCGAGAGCAGCCGCAGCCCACCACTACCAGGATATCGTGGCCACACCATATGGCTCAGCTGTTCCCATTACAACTGTGGAACAGTGGGAAGTACTGCACGAGGCGGATCCAGTCCAGGCCAATGCTGACAACCGACAGCATCACAGGCAGACCGTATATCTGGAGGGTAAGGCGGTCCAGGGTCTACGCGACTCAGGGGCTACCATCACCCTGGTAAAGAGTCACCTGGTGTCAGATCAGGCTAAATTAAGCAAGACTGTGGCCCTCAGGGTAGCCGGGGGACCAGTATACCGGCTACCTACAGCAAGGGTACATTTACATTGGGGAGCGGGGTAAGGACATGTGGAGGTGGGGTTGATGCCGCAGTTACCGGCGGAGGTTTTATTGGGGAACGATCTGGGGAGGCTCACGTCTGCTTTTGAGCCCCAGACACCCACCACAGGAGAAGCTCACCCTGTGGTCACCCGACAACAGGCCCGCACCCAGGACTACAACACACTTCCGGAGGTTCAGGTAAGAGATCCTTCCCCTTGACTGTGTTCCCTGGGCCCCTCCTAACGAATTTGCAGCTGAGATAGTGACTGACCCCACCTTGCAGGGGTGTATAGGGACAAGGTGACAGCAGACACTCCTGGGGGAGAGGGAGAGAGATTTGTCTGGGACAAGCAGATTGCTGGGTCAGACCCAATAGTGATGAGGCAGCTAGTGGTGCTGCAGCGGTACCGAGCAGAGCTACTCCGGATAGCGCACGATATTCCGCTATCCGGACATCTAGGGGTCAGTCGCACTAGGTACCGACTGACCCAAAGCTTCTTCTGGCCAGGGATCAGCCAGGAGGTACGCAGGTATTGCACCACCTGCGATACCTGCCAAAGGGTAGGGAAAAGGGGAGACCGGAGGAAGGCGAAACTACACCCCTTCCCATAATTGAGGAACCTTTTAGCCGAATAGCGGTAGATTTGATAGGCCCCCTCAAGAAAGCTAGCCCGTCAGGCAAAAGGTACATTTTAACGGTAGTAGATTATGCCACTAGATATCCAGAGGCAGTGGCTCTGACCAACATCCACGCTGAAACGGTCGCGGATGCCCTCATGCAGATATTCTCCCTAATGGGATTACCCAGGGAGATTATCTCGGATCAGGGTACCCAATTTACTGCAGAATTAACCCAACACCTCTGGAGGATCTGTGGCATTAAGCCTATTATCAGTGCCCCTTACCACCTCTGCGAACGGTTCAATGGCACATTGAAACAAATGCTCCGAACCTTCGCAGAGACCCACAAGGACGGGGAGCGATTCCTGCCGCATCTCCTGTTCACTTACCGGGAGGTGCCGCAGGAATCCACAGGGTTTTCCCCGTTTGAACTGCTATTTGGGAGGAGAGTCAGAGGCCCATTAGATCTTATAAGAGAGCATTGGGAGGGAGACCGGAGTGCAGATGTCACTCCCATCATACCATATGTGTTGGCCTTCCGAGACCGCCTGGAAGCATTGACTAGGACGGTAAGGGAAAACCTTCAGGCGGCGCAGACACGCCAGCGCACGTGGTACGATCGGGGAGCCAGAGACCGTAGCTTTCAGGTCGGGCAGAAAGTGCTAATTTTAAAACCTGTCCGACATGACAAGCTACAGGCTGCCTGACAGGGACCTTACAGGGTGGTGGAACAGAGATGTGACGCCACCTATATAATCGGCCCCTGCACAGGGACGGGAGGGCGACGCATGCTCCATGTGAACATGATGAAGCCCTACCAGGAGCGCACCGAGGAGGTAACCGCCATATGTGCGCCCAACTCTGACGAGTTTGACAGCTTACCACTCCCAGATCTGCTGGGAGATGGGCAGCTGTCTGGGGATTTAGGGGAGGTTGCACTGGCTGAGCCCACAGGAGCGTATCGAGGTACAGCGGCTGTTGGAGGAGAAACGAGACACGTTCTCTAATGCCTTCTGGCCACTCACCGGGTAGAGACCCCAGGGCAACTACCCATGCGCCAGACCCCCTACCGCATCCCGGAAGCGGTGAGGGAAAACATGCGCAAGGAGATCGATGAGATGCTCCAACTGGGGGTGATTGAGCCCTCAGTCCCTGGGCTTCTCCGGTAGTGCTCGTACCGAAGCGGGACGGTACGACCCGCTTCTGCGTAGACTACAGGAGATTAAACGAGAAGACTGTGTCCGACGCATACCCTATGCCACGGATAGATGAGCTACTGGACAGGATGGCCAGGGGCCAATACCTCACTACTATTGACCTATGTAAGGGGTATTGGCAAATCCCCCTGGCCCCAGATGCCATCCCTAAGTCGG